CCAGAAATCGATTTTTATTCTCAAGACGTCGCCGTGACGCGAAAAATTGGTGATTCCAGACGTGAGGCTCAAATAAAGGCCTTCGAACTTTCTTTCATTGTTGACTCCTGTCCAGTTTGCCTGTTAACCTCTCTTGTGTTTTTACTGATCTAGTTCCTCAAATCCAATTGCCTCAAAGAGTTCTCATCAGAATTCCGGCCTGTCCCGCTATCCCTCTGTCGGACTATAAGTTCGTCTCGGAGACGCCTGATGACGTGGTTCGACGAGTGTCCATGTTCTGCCGTCCCCTTGGTAGTCCTGTTAGCCGTGACATCCCATACGGCGATCATTTGGAGGGGGCTGGTATTCTTAGCAGAGGCAACTCTAGTCCGGACTCCGGGGCTGAGCTGTCGTCAGATGCGGAAATAAACTCTGGGGACGCAGAACCGGTATTCAATACTTCCTGCCTGGACACCAATCTGGAGCGGTCATGCGAAGGCATGTGTTAAGTAATTTTTTGGTCTGGCTAACGCTTGAGTGTCGTAGTTGCAACATTTCTAGTTATTCGGTCGAGATCCGTGGATTATTGGTAATCAGAATAATTATCGACAGGATCCTAGTATAAACTGCTTTTTTTCTCAAAGCTTTGGAGATATTGTGTATCTCTAATAGCATTGTGCTCACCCCCAATTCTCAGCCAAATTTTCTCGTGCAGCTTTTATACTAGGTTTACCATTTATGGCGTTACATGAAATTACATCAAGACCTTAAAATCCTCGAACCATTCCTTCAAGTACTAGTCAATAGCCCATTCATGCGTTTGCCGTTTTTTGTGTTTTTTAGGCTGCCGTACATGATTCAGTTCATTTTTGCTCTAACTTTCTTCCCATTCAATTGACATGCGGTCCGACTTGCTGTATAAGATCACAAATCCGTAAGAGACTGTTAGAGAAATCCGGACCAATCACAGATAAAGGGTGATAAATCTAAAAGAAAGGTTGCATTAGATTGTACTTTGAAGTACCCTGGCTTTTTTTATGCCGGACGACGATCTGTCCTCTTCTGTACTGATAATTGAACGTTGGCCGTACACAAGCCTTGCCCTTGCGGTCGTGGTTTCGGACTCCACCGAGGCCGCCGACTTTTTCACAACTGATTCGGCTAAATTATGCGCAGCTACCAACACGCCTATCAATTAAATGAGCCTGCTGTCATCTGGTGGATTCTAGATTGATATGCATAGGAAGTCCTGCCTGAGCAGTCAGCCTATTGAATAAGAATTTGTGGATTCCGTGCGTTGCAGTAGACTGGGCGGTTGACTTGACCCAAGTGTGATTAAACTTGCGGCTCCCGATGAGACATCTTAGCTCTATACAAGCCTTTCGCTGGCTGTAGTCGGTGCAAATCCGACTGAGGTCTCCGAGTTTTTCACAGTTGGGTCAAAATACGTTATTCAGAATCTGCCAAAACACATGATATACGACGCACCACACTGTTGAACTCTCCTCGGTCGGTTAACTGTCAATCGGCATATGCTCGCATGTTGGTGGCCCTGTGCCGCATTGTGCCTATATCTGCGCCTCTTAAAACGTGGCAACTTGAAATAGATCCAGGGAGGGTCGTCGGGCCAGTAGGTAGAATTCCATCGCTAGAGCTTGGAGATTCACTAATTCCTAATTGCCTACGAGTCCTCATTTATTTTTATCTGCAATTCGATCATTGAATTCAGTCAAGTTGTTTCTCCTTTTCTAGGGCATCCTCTGGAAGACGAACTGTCTGACGTAGAAATTATTCAAGATATTCACGAGATGGCTCAATCCGTTTCTAACTGTACGTACTTTGCCACGTAACGAACCACGTTCGTTGGTTTTTAAGACGTCTATCACTGCCTTTGTTGTTGCACTTCTGTATTAGTCGTCTTCACTTTTTACAATCCACCATCTACTGCAAGCGAATGAGCGTAAATTAGTTTCCACATGTAGTTGGCCAACTCCCGCTCCCGTCTTGTCACTGTATCCTGGGATGTATTATGCTGATTCTATCAATGTTTGATGCTCTGTCTTACTGACATCTTTTAAAGTAATTTATGAAAAAAGGTGGGGTCTCATGTTTGTTGTCACTCAGCAACTGGCCAACCAGCTTGTACTGATCTTTCGCAGAGCCTCTCACGTTGTCGGGTCATTGTCGTGTCGTTTGTTAATTTTAGCCAAGAACGTCATTCTCCTAACGACGGGTGCGTTGGTCTCCCTTCTTTTGGGCATTCTCCTGGCGATCTACTTTAACCTCTAACCGCTCTGAACCCCAAAGAAGTTGACCCCTGGCGGACGCAATCACGTCCTAAGCGTGTGCTTGCTTTCATTGTCTCCTTGTTTTCATCATTGTTCCCATTCTTTCTCTGTGATTTTTTTACTGTGCGATCGCCTACTATCTACCATCTCACAAGGTGCACCGCCGACGATATTTTTTCCCATCATTCTGGCGCGTGCATTCGTATGAATTTGTTTTTGTTGTGACTCTGCTACCTCCTCCACTGCGCATATTGCTGCCACTTATGCTTGCGTGCGTGCGCTCCCTCGCGATTCTTTGAGTCGCCCTCATTGAGACTCCTCAATCATAACCACGTGAACTGGCCTCACGAGCGTTCGGAACTTGCTATGAATATGTTCAAAACCTCATGTGCACACATTACTATCCTTTATTCTTGGGAGTTTTTTTTTCCCACACATTCACTTTGCCAGAGCGTTTTGCAACCAACAGGGACCTATTGTATTTCTGTAGCTTTGT